CCCTTTCCCCCTTAGCATACTGTTTATACATTTGTTGATAATTATGAATGGTCCATACTGTGCAGGGTTATCCACCTTATGTTTTGGAATTTCTTTTTTGAGTCTTTCACATCTATTAAATTCGTGTATAGTTAAATCTAATACTGTACTGTAATAGTATATAAAAATATATAAAACTTTTTCTTTCATCTACCCTTATCAATATCGCTTAGAGTACCTTGATGTTATTTAATATATTTATAATATTTTATATAGGCCTGCAATTTACTGTAAATACAGCTATTATATACTGTAAAATTATTTTTATAAATCTTTATATGTTTGCACAATACCACTAGTGCTACATCGTGTGACTTCATAATGCTAGTAAAATTCAATGCAGTTTATTCTTTTAAGATATTGAATCCCGTTTTTGTTTTCTACTTTTAGATGATGCAATGCAAACATTATTTTAGTTTGGTTGTTTGACCTGTTATATATATGTTTAATATGTGTTAAATAAAGATCTTGAGAATGAATACATTTTGTTGGGATTTCTGTACAGTGGGTTCAAACATTTCATGTTTCCTGCCATGAACTACCAAAACACATTTGTACATTACAATCATCTTGTAGGCCTATGATTTTTAATTTTTACACTTTTTTTTTGATTCGTGAAAACAATTTTTTAGTGATCGAACGATATAAAAAAATTATATCAGCTGTTCTTTTCTATAGAAGTATTGTTAATTTCTGTAGAAAATAATAGTTTTCTATAGAAAAGAAATTATAACAGCGTTACTTTCTATAGAAATGCTGTTCTTTTCTATAGAGGTACATGTATTGTGCATTTCTATAGAAAATAATAGTTTTCTATAGGAAAGAAATTATAACAGCGTTACTTTCTATAGATTTGCTGTTATTTTCAATAGAAATTTACAAAGTTTTCTATAGAAAAAATTATATATTTGCAATAATTTCTATAGAAATGCTGTTCTTTTCTATAGAAGTATTGTCAATTTCTATAGAAAATAATAGTTTTCTATAGAAAAGAAAGAACCTGTCTCTTATACACATCTAGATGTGTATAAGAGACAGATTCTATAGAAATGCTGTTAATTTCTATAGATTCTTATAGAGAATTAAGCCACTTTTCTTTAGAAATTGTATAGAAATCCTTTAGAAATTTTATAGAAATCCTTTAGAAATTGTATAGAAATTCTTTAGAGATTGTATAGAATGTTTTTATATATTTTCTATAGAATTTGTTTGAAATATTCTATAGAACTTATATAAAATTTTCTATAGATACTCTATAGAATACTATATAGAAAAGCTATAGAATTTTCTTTATAGAATTCTATAGAAAATTTTTGTATGGGATGGAACAAAAACATTTTAGAATACATTAGTATAATACCCTCCATAATACTTGTGTAGATAATATTCTTTTAAATCCAAATGTGAATGTTACTTTATCCACCAGATATTGATGTTGATAATCCCGCACGTACAATAATGATGATGATAATATCTCTGAGTAGATGTCGGTAATCCTGATACGTTAGTCAAATGTAGTGCATAACATAAAAGTAAATTAGTAAAGTTGCGTGAAGCAAAAACAAATGGTTTTGTTGTTCAATCGGTTTAGGCAAAATTTAACTCCAATAGTAATAGGAATAATAATAGGCGACGATTATAATGGTTAATTTGTTGTTGATGATGAGGATGGTGGTGGTGATACTCTTAGTAATTATAATACTTTTAATGATGATGATGATGGTAATGATGAGGATGATATAATAATGCAAATGATGGTAATGGTTTATTTTATATTGCTATAATTTTTGTTCTTCTATAGGCCTACTGTATTTTTTTTTTGTCTTTTGTGGAGTTATCCCCAGTTATCATCATTATATAATTTACAATTTTAATCAGTTTTATGCAGTATTGTAAAATATCCATAATGAGTATCTACAAAGATAAAAATCACTTTCCTCTAAAAAAGGTCAGTCCATCGTGACTGCTAACTAATATCTCTTTATAATTGTTTTCATAGTGAATTTAGACTTTTAACATGTAGCTTCTTATATGTTCCATTCATATGTATTATTTTTTCCATTCTTCCGATTTTGACCAACTAACCTTTTTTAATATAAATAATATACAACATCACACATATGTATATACATACCAGGATGGAATGTAGCTTACATTAATCTATTCTTAATCTGAAATCCTAGGCATATGTCACATATACATACCTACATACATCCACACCTATGTTAATATTCACATACACATGCCCAGGTGCTATACCTATATGTACCCACAGGCCTACTGTATTTTCGTGAAACGTAATACAAGAAGATATCGAGCCTTTGAGGAACATGCTACATTAAATAAATTGAATTAAATGTTGATGATGATGATGATGACGATGATGATATGATGATGATGATGATATGACGAGGATGATGATTGAGAAGTTAATGATGATAATGATAATATCAATTCCCTGCTGAGACCTACATAATTTTTAGTACGTTTTAGCAAAACAACATCAATCTATAAAAAAAATATACGCTCCTTTAAAGAAATACTATCCCACTGCCAAGATTATAAAACCTATCTATTATTTCTAATGTTTTGTATTTAATGACTTGGTGTATCGATTACGTATTGAACGCTCAATTTCATTGTATACAGAAAAAATTCCATTTCATTTCGTTACCTAACGTCGTGTGATATAATACATGTTTATTATACATCCCCAGATCTTCGGTCTAAAGTGAAGAACTCATCGAAAAGCAGAAACACCATGCATCTGTATTCATTTTGTTTGATTAGCTTGATGTTATTAGCAGTATCCACTGAAGCCAGACGCTTTCATGGGGTATGTATCCCTGCTGCAGGCATATAGAATATTAGAATAATTAATCGTCTTGTTGAAAGTACATATAATTTTGGAAGAACTCTTAAGTGCCTATTATTGTGATTTTAAATGTCAAACTATTTTGTATTAACATGAATACACAGGCATCTAATAAACTATCATTAGCATATCTCTTTGTTACACCTTATTAAGTATCCAAATGCGTATTTTTAAAATGAAATGAAATACTTATTCGCATTGGCGTAAAACTGATATTGTATAATATAATGCCTTAAAGAGACAGATATATATATATATATATGTATGATTAAAAGAAATGTTATTTTTGACAAGTACATAAATTATTTAAATGAGTTAAACCATGTAGTATATTATTGCTGTACTGAAATATTTTTGATATAAAAATATTTGTCAGACTTCAAAATGACAAGACATTCAATTCGAAGACATGAAAATGACTAGGTACTTAGATTAGCAACTTATCTTGCAAGTGAAGAGTTTCTCTTGGTTTGAGAGAGCTAAACATGTCGCCTGTGATTGATGCAGAGACTCTCGACACGAACAACTGCGCACGCATTTGCTCATGAAAAACATTATAGTCGCCAAAAACAATGGTCGATGAAAACGAAGATGACGTAATAAGCTCAGGGCATACTTGCTACAGTCAGAATTTATTGTTATTAAGAGTAAAGTGTGAACAGATCAATATAAGATTAAGAAAACAGATGAATCTAGTGTTGAACCAGTTACACATGCCGATGAATATCGAAGAAATTTTTGTTAAAGCAGACGAGTCTGCTGTAAATGATAGATTTGTTATACAGATTGGCATCTATAGGCCTATGGCTGCAGTAGATGAATGTCATATAAAAAGCATTTAATGCTCTATCAATGCGGAATGATGTATTCGAAACATTAAGAAACTTAATTACATTTGAATGCTATATATTCAATTGAAAATCATATACTATATAGTAGATTCATTAATCGTAAAAAGTAATTCGACAACATAAAAACCATCCAGGCTTGCGCACAACTCCATTAAACCTGAAACGGAGAAATGAAATTCATATTTTTTTCAAAATTGCATGCAAGTGTAATATAATTCATTCTGTAGTAGAAAGCTTATCAAAATAGTTCACTGTATTTATAGGACTTTTCTATATTAAGAAACTCATTTCGTATAGGATTAAAGACTAATGTGAATGAATAATATACAACGTTAACCTACTGACAAACTGCGGTTTTTCATAAGCGTTGCAATTAGTAAGTGCCAATGTAAATTAATGTATTGCGAACAGTGTGAATTGTGTAGGTCTAGAAGTTCAATGCCAGAATATTGCTGTCTCAGTGAAAAACGGGAAAACCAAAGAAAATCAATTAAATCATCGAATTGCTCAAGTAAAATGAGACACTGCTAGAAACAATTCAGGTTTCAATTAATTATATACGGTATATATTTTGTAAGAAAACCTTGTTACTGGCCAATATAAGGGCCAATGAATTAATAGGCCTATTTTTATGTATCTTTGAATAAAGCGAGGAGGTATTAATCTCTTACAATTCCCAATTGAAAGCTCTAACCATAAGCAATTCAAATTATTATTTTTCAAAAATATTTGTTTCGCTTAAAAAATACGTTGTATTTTACCTCAAATAACAAGTTCTGGTCTAGTACCCGGTATAGTGTTCCATAGACGTTGCAGTTAAAGCGCCAAGTAAAATATGCCTATAGTATTTTATAAGCGTCATTAGTCTGTGTAAACAAATAGCATTGGCGAAAGAAGCCGCAGTTGCGGCAGAGGTGGTAGCGATTGCGGCGATAGCGACCTGAGCGGCAGTATACCTGATTTATTTTTCTCTGTTTTGCATTTACGGCGCTTGATCATCAGAACTATTGACGTTTTTAATAATATCCTACAGGCCTACAGACAAAAATATCACTCTGAACGGAAAGATCGAACTGTGTTAATGACTCTTGTCAACATTTGGAATGGGCTTAGTGGAGTAAAAGGATCATTGAGCAACACCTCGACACGGTCTAACTCTACAGAATTCGCGTATGACGGATTAGCAACTATACCCTTCAAACAAGCAAACCGATCTTTTTCCCCATTTCCTTAGGGAATCTAACGTGGCAGCCATTAGTCACGTGATACTATATTAGTCGCATATATCTGCCGGGCATGAACACGAAGTGCTGATACTTCATTTGTATAATTCGATCGACTATGAAAATTTAACTTTTGTTTAGATTGAACGTACAGTATTTGCATTCTTATCAATATTTCTCTCCACAGAGTCACGCACGTAAACATCATAGTGTTCTCAAGGGAGCAGGTAAGCTACGTAATTATTGAATACAGTAAACCGATTCTCTCCAATCTTGACATTCACTGCACAGTATAATAATCTATGCTACTGTACCATCTAGCTCAACATTCCAGACGAATATTTATTTATTTATTGCGGTGTAAAACATATTACAAAAAAAACAAAAAACAATAGCTGAAAGCTAAATATGCTTATATTACCAAATGGAATATATATATAT